TTTTTTTTGGGGGTTTCCCCCGAAAAAAAAAAAAAAAAAAAAAAAAAAAAAAAAAACGAAAAGGAAAATACGGCAGCCACCACCGTCTTCTCGCCTTCGCGATGAAGTCATCGATCTCGAACTATCTCCGACTCGATCGGTTATCAACTCGGTTTATTTATAACGGGTGTATTATTAATAGAAATGGCGTTCCTGCCGATACTCGATAGGTTTTCGCCGACGTGGGTAGTAACGTAAACCGATTGTGCATGCATCCGAGTTGCCGGTACAGCGTTTTTCGTATCTCGGCACTTGATACACCGAGAGATGGCCAAGGTTCTCGGGCCAAGCACCGCGCGAAATATACTTTTCACTTTTATCACTCTCAGCGTCAGGCAGAATTACGTATTGATTTTCACACGCAACGATTCCGACGAGCATTTACGAAATCTCGAAAGCGCGAGCGTCGTCGGAAATATCGTTACGGCGATAAGACGAATCTCATGGGATGACATAATAGCGAGAGAAGAGTTTCTTGCTTCTTTGGTCAAAGAGGAAGGGAGAGAGAGGGGGAGAGAGAGAGAGAGAGAGAGAGAGAGAGAAGGAAGGGAAGAGGAGAGAGTGAGAGAGAGAGAGTGAGAGCACTAGCTCCACGGGGAAGTAATAAAATATTTGGGTAGCGCTGAGCGGGAATGGGAATGGGAATGGGAATGAGAACAGGTTCCTGTTGCGCATTCCAGGCCGATGCTGAATACCGATGCCTTGGACACGGCGGTTGGCACGGCTAGGTACATAAATTACTATTGAGTTACAACTCGCTAGTTCAGTCCCACGGAAATCGTTTGCCAATCGTGAATCACCGGTCGAGATCGCGCGAGTCTACCGAGTAATTTGCCGATCAATATTCCCGAACAGGAATCTGTATCGAATTCGTTCGATTTCGCGGAAGATCGAATAGCATTTTTGGCGATTAAATTTGTTGGTTCTGGGGCCTGAGGCCCTGAGCCAAGCCAATAGAACATCGTCGAAAATTGTTTGAA